ATCGTGAATATGTGCACATGATTTTTTTTTTTTTTTCTAAATTATGAAATAAGTGATAAAAACCAAAGCACAACAGTAACAAATTTTTCCTTTCTGATGCATAAATGTCTTCTCTCCGGAATGTTTGTTTTTAAAAAGTCATAATATTGCGGTAAATTAAAATGATTGCATCTGGGGTCTTTGGTGTGAAGGTGATGGGGAGGAAGAAGTGTTTGTGATTTGGGTTAGGATTTTCTTTAGTATCTGTCTTGTTTTCAGTGTTGTCTTGATATCCCAAAACGTGAATTGCAGAGCATAGCTTTCTGTTCGTTTTGAAACATCAGAAAGTCAAAATACTTAAAAAAAAACAACCAAACAAAGAAAAAAGGGCATGGCATCTGAAATTCTGGGGGTGGGGGTTGTGTGCATACAGTGAGAATTTCCGAAAGAAATCCCTCATCTAGACATCTGTCTTCTTACAGAGCCCTTACAGAACGGTTCTACGGGATAATGCCGTGCCAACTATATTTGATCTTACAAGTCACTTGAACAATCCCCACAGCAGACATAGGAAAAGGATAAAAGAGCTGGTAAGTTTTTCATGTAAGTTGGTTTTGTTGGTTTTTTTTTTTAATATTTAAAGGCAAGTAAGTTCGTGTGAAACTTTGGTGTAAAAGTATCAGGTAATAATATTTAACACTTGAGTGTTTGCGTTTTCTGTGCTGCCTATTCTAGTATCATTTCGTTGATCATAAGTTAAATGCCCAGATGTTTTGCCAATATAACTTTTATCTACTAAGGAAGGTTTAATGAAATAATCTGGAAAATAAAACATGTCGATCCAGAGCTGATTCTGCCTTCCAGAGAAAGTGCTTGGCTTCCTTTTGCTTGTTATTCCAGTGCAACGGGATACAACTTGGACATGGTACCTCAAATTCTCACTACATACTGGTTGTGATCTGCAGTTCACCTGTTTAACTTTTGAAGCCTGCACCAATTCAGACGTGTTTGGTTTAGCTTATTGTTCTGAAAAGGTGACCCACAAATAAAACAAAGATCAAGAAGTTTTTCGGAACTGTGTCTTGTTGACTTTTTTTGTGTCGTTTATAGAAAAATAATTTTTTTGGTGTCATTTATAGAAAAAGCATCTCTAGGTCTCTGGGGTTATAAGTATACTGACAATTAAGGGAATTCAACTCCTAAACTCCACTTATATGTTGGAAAATTACAATTTCTAAATATTTCTTCATGAGTTTGAGTCTGTTTATTGACTGAACACGGAGGTAAAGACAGTTCTGCCTACTGACAGTGCACGTTCATATTGAAACAGAATTCCTTCATGGAATATATTTACTAATAATTATAAAATACATATTGAACAAATTCCTGATGTAAGTATGGAAACTTTAGCAGTGGTAGCAAACTTTTAGTTAGTTGATAAGTGTCGTGGCAGCAATAAACTGCCTGAAGAAATGTCCTTCTCTTGGACCTTCTAGTGCTTTTTGGTAAATATTAACGCTCTTAAAATGGTCTCATCTACAATATTTGTGTCTGATCCTGATGTGGTTTAATGTTGTAAGGTCATGTGCTAGATGTTACCATCAATAAAGTTATTTTTTTCTTTTTTTTTAAAGAGTGAAGATGAAATAAGAACCCTGAAGCAACAAAAGAGTAAGTAGGCAAAATAATCGTGTTCGTAAAAACATTAATTGCTAGGGCTGACAAGGTAATGCAGGACATGTAACTGTAAATTTATATGTATCAGGAGGGTAATTGTGTTCCTGCTTGATTCAAACAGGCAAAAACTCTTTCCCCAGTACTAGTTCCCCTTTAAACTGGGAACATTCTTCTCTGGACTCTAGTAACTTAAAGGTAATGGGGATAGTAAGGGAAAGCAAATGTTAAGTTTTATTCATGTTATCTTGACACTTACAGTATTTTACATTTTGTAGTTGATGAAGCTTTTGAACGGGAACAGGCAACACAAGAACTGAACGAAAGCAATGAACAAAATACTGTGTCAGAGGAAGGAGGGGAAGAACAAGAGGAAGAAGCTGTCCCCTTAACACTGGAAGAAAGAGAAAACAAAGATTACCTTAAATCTTTGTTTGAAATTTTGATCCTAATGGGTAAACAAAATATTCCTTTGGATGGCCATAATGTTGATGAGCTTCCAGAAGGTATTTTTACTTCAGGCAACTTTCAGGCTCTACTGGAATATCGAATCAATGCTGGAGATGAAGTTCTGAGGAAGCGATTTGAGATGACAGCAGTCAATCTTGAGTATTGTTCGAAAACTCAGCAGAAACAAATGCTTGAGATCTGTGAAAGCTGTGTTAGAGAAGAGACACTGAGGGAAGTAAGAGACTCGCACTTCTTTTCTATTGTCACCGATGAAGTAGTGGACATAGCGGGAGAGGAACATTTGCCGGTGCTGGTGAGGTTTGTTGATGATTCTCATAATCTAAGAGAAGAATTCATAGGGTTTTTACCATATGAGGCTGATCCTGAAATTTTAGCTGTTAAGTTCCACGCAACTATTACTGAAAAGTGGGGTCTGAACATGGAGTACTGTCGAGGTCAAGCCTACATCGTCTCCAGTGGCTTTGCTTCTAAAATGAAGGTGGTGGCTACAAGACTGTTGGAAAAGTATCCCCAAGCTGTGTATACGCTGTGTTCCTCTTGTGCCTTAAATGTTTGGCTGGCAAAATCCGTTCCTGTTGTTGGTGTTTCCATCGCGTTAGGAACAATCGAAGAAGTTTGCTGTTTTTTTCATCAGTCTCCGCAGTTACTAGTAGAACTGGACAACACAATTTCTGTTCTTTTTCAGAACAACGAGGGGAAGGGCAACGAGCTGAAGGAGATCTGCCGTTCTCAGTGGACAGGCAGGCATGATACTTTCGAGGTTTTGGTGGACCTCATGCAAGCGCTGGTGCTGTGCTTGGATGCGGTAAGCAGCGACTCGTCTGTCAGGTGGAACAACTTTATTGCCGGTCGAGCATTTGTCCTTTCAAGTGCATTGACAGATTTTGACTTCATTGTCACTATCGTAATTCTGAAAAACGTTCTGTCTTTCACAAGAGCTTTCGGGAAAAATCTCCAAGGGCAAACATCAGACGTGTTCTTCGCAGCTAGCAGCTTAACAGCAGTGTTGCATTCTTTGAATGAAGTGATGGAGAATATTGAAGTTTACCATGAGTTTTGGTTTGAGGAAGCCACGAATTTGGCTACGAAACTGGATGTACAAATTAAACTCCCAGGAAAATTTCGCAGGGCGCAGCAGGGGAACTTGGGCTCTGAGGTAACATCAGAAAACTACTACAAAGACATCCTTAGTGTCCCCGCGGTGGAGCATATTATTCAAGAATTAAAAGACATATTCTCGGAACAACATTTAAAAGCTCTGAAGTGTTTGTCATTGGTGCCTTCAGTCATGGGGCAGCTCAAATTCAACACGTCAGAGGAGCATCACGCTGACATGTACAAAAACGACTTGCCTAATCCAGACACGCTTTCTGCTGAGCTTCATTGTTGGAGAATCAAGTGGAAGCACAGAGGAAAAGACATTGAACTTCCAGCTACTATTTATGAAGCACTTCACTTGCCTGACATAAAGTTTTTCCCTAATGTTTACGCATTGCTAAAAGTCTTGTGCATACTTCCAGTGATGAAGGTGGAGAATGAAAAATACGAAATAGGACGAAAACGCTTAAAGGCTTACCTGAAAAACACCTTGACAGAGCAAAGGTCAAGCAACCTAGCTTTGCTGAACATAAACTTTGATATCAAACACGACTTAGATTTAATGGTGGACACCTACATTAAACTCTATGCAGACAAAGTGGAATTTCAAGAAGACTTTATTCCCTCAAACAACTCTGAAGTAACAGAAAATGCTTAATTTTTTAAGCTCTAACCAATCTGTTGAAACTGCTTTTTCTTAGCTAAGTTTCAACGCTGAGAAAAAACAAAACAAAATGGTGAAATCTAGAAATTCACTGTAATTGTATATCCATTGTCGGTCTTGGGCTGCAGCAGCTGTGGTCAGTGACCCAAATTGTTTTGTTAGTCTGCATTAAATGTGTTATGCGAACAAAACCGAGCCTGACAATAAGCCCGTGCTCTTGGCAGAGGTGCTTTCTCCCTCTGATTGACTGAACTAGGTGCTCGTTTCCTTTATTGCATCTTGGGAAAAGTACATTGTGATTGTAGATCCGATGGGGCTGTTACATATTCGCTCATGAATTAGTATAAGAATAAACACCTCAATGTTAAAAAGAGTATAATCCATTTCAGTTCTGTTACATAGGATTTTATTGGTTTTGAAAACTTTAAAAAAAAAAAAAAGTCTTTGATGTGTATTTAACTGGTCTTTTGGAGAGTGGATTCAGCTATTGCACGATCCCGTGCTGTGGGCTGTTCTCGGTGTAAAGTGAATGTTAGTGCTATAGAGGTACGTTTACGGTTTCGTTGGAAGAGTGCACCTCTTTAATCTCTTGATGACTGTTTACATTCCTTTGTGTGAGACACAAAACTTCTTTTTCTTTAGGCTTTTAACAGGCATGGCAGGATTATTGAAATTCCTAAAAGACACTAAAAACCTAAAATTTATTCCACAAACATTTAAATCTGTTCGTTCTATCCTGACTGACACAAACCCATGCATCTAATCATCTGTTTATTTTGTAAACTCACCCAGGAAAGATTAAAATAAGAGTTCGTTGTTTGTCTAGAAGTAAGATTGAAAATATTGCTGTTATTTTTGGCAAGAATGAAACATTTTTGTACAGTTTATTGCAATTTAAAATAAAATGTGAATTGCTTTTTACATAGTATTGAATTTCTTAGTAAAGCTGTGCCTCTTTGCGAACATGTATTGTTTTGTGAGGTACCTTTCAGTTTTGGCAATTTTTTCTCCATTGTTTCCGCAATTCTAGTGAGTGGCGTTGTCTTAAGATACAGGAGACTTTGTGTAATAGCACTTCTGATCTGTACGTTTAGCTGAAGGGGGTTTTTTTAAAGTCTCTTGAATAGCACTGAATGCAGTGCTTTTAGTTGTGGACATTCTGTCTAACCGAAACAGGCGGAAATAAATTCAATTTGAAATGGTTGAAAAGTTAAGTTTTGCAGTATCCTGATGCATGCCCGTTTTATGACTTACAGTTGTCCTTTTATGTACTTTCCAGTTGCAGTGGGGAAGGCCCTCAGCAACAGAAAACTGAATGATTGTAGAGACTATGACAAATACAGTTCTTAATATTTTAATGCAGTCAAACAATAAGAAGAAATTTGAAAAAAAAAACCACAAAAACCCCGCTTACTAAGTAAGCTTAGATATTAAAGTGGCTATGTACATCTTAATAAATGTTTTCACGGGCTTTTATTTACATTGGAGTAGTAAAGATTTCTCTTAAAAAGTATTATCTTTTCTTTCCACTGCTGTTTGTGTATGCTTTCTGGCAAACTTTCATGTTCATGCGGTTGTTGTCTCAATCAGTAGAAAGTGGTTTAGCTAACAGCTTGCTCTGTTCTTCTGGATATATGAAAATAGCCCAAATCTCTGTTAATGCTGTAAAACCCCCAGGAATTTGAAATGAGAAGTCTTCTGGAAAATGGTCTTTTTTTAAAGACGATCCCAATTACAATTTTAATTAAATAAATTAAAAAAAAAAATCTTCCCCATCCTGGGAATGTCTGTGAGTTCCCCCTGGTGACCACAGCAGCGTGAGGTGGTCGTGACCTCGGAGATCGTGAGCACCGTATCAGCAAAGTCGAGTTGGACGAGCCCAGGCTTACAGATGTCCTCGGAGAAGGAAAACTGATACCCAGCGCCATGTAATTGCCCAGAAGAGCTGAAGATTACTTTCCCACTGTATAAATAAGATCATTTCAACCCACGTGCTGAGAGAAAAGGAAGAAGGGAAATGCAGTGAAACACTTGGTTAGCTGCTGAAGTGTCGTCTGAAGCTCCGCTGAGACCTACAGGCGTGACTTAGAGTTGCTCATTAGCTGGCCCCAAGAGCCTGGATCGCTTGGCGTGCTCCATCGTTGCCCTGCCCTTCACAGAGGTGCTTAGAGTGCCTGTAATCCATCCGCAGCTCCTTATTTGGCCGATTGGAGTTGTCCTGGTGGTGAGGAATGCCTCATTTTTAGGCACATCAGTCCATCACTTGGGAAACTGCGGCAGGTAGTCGGAACGGTTGGTGGCTTGGGGGGGTGCAGAGGAGCAAAGGAACAGCAGGCTGCAGCGGGAGGTACCCCTTTCACTTAGGAGAGTTGTGTGGAGGAAAACTTTCCTGAAGCTATAGTGGCCCCCATCTTATTTCTGGGGGTGCAGAGAAAGGATGCAACAACAGTGGAATTCGGCGATATAATCTTGGAGCAGTATTGCTGGAGCAGGTCAGAGACTGACAGAGAAGTGTCTGAAAATAGGACAAATAATCACAGAAGCTAAACTTTGATTCAATTTTTTTTTTAACATGTTCTTGAGACAGAGGGAGTTATCTTAAATATCCTACCCATCCAGGGCAGTATGTATTTTGAAGGTATATCTGAGGTATTTACCTTGCTTTGACCTGGCTTGCTGGCGCACTCTGGGTAAGGAAGCGATATGTCTATTTAATTGAAGTATCACTGCTCAGATATAAATAATTTTAGTGAAAGTGGATTTTTCGTAGCTGCTCAGCTGATTGTGTTTTGCGAAAACAATGTCTGTGTCAATACACAAGCTCTTATTTCCTTTTCCCATGCGCAGAGTTCCTGTTAGAAATCGCTCCCTTTTTCAAAAAGTAGCGTGCAGCTTTTGCTCTCCTGTCACGTCATTTCTGTCACCGGCTGCAGGAATCCTGTAACTGCTTGTTTGGCTGCCGAGGTTCTGCTGGAAAGCCGCAGAGGACCAGGAGCACTTAATGATTCTGGGTGCAGCTATCCTCTTCCCCCCACGCTCTCTTTCTGTGCAACACTTCAAATCTCAGAGTTGCCAGAAACGTCCCAGTTACTCTAAGATGAGGAAAAAAAAACTCTCCTGGATCTGTTTCAAGAAGCAGTTGCTAACCTAGAATAACAATAGGTGTTATCCCAAAGTAGGCTTAACATCCAATAATTTCCAGACCTCTAATGCTCCCTACTTTCCCTAAGGAAAACAGTTCTTACAAAGAATAGCAGTTTCCCCAACGTTTTGCCTAGTAGTGACGCATCGGCAAAAGAAAAAGTGGGAGTTGGCAGTTTAGACAGATCTGCAGTTTTACAATACGTGCGTGCTCGCTATAAATTGTCCTTACTTTGCAAAATAACACTGTTAATCGAGTAGAATTCAATGGGCATGTTCCATAATGCAATAATTGTTCATTTTATTGTTCCCATAGTTGTCCATGAAAAGAGAACATCTGTTTATTATAAGAGAAAAAGAGAAATGTCTATTTGTTTATTTTCATGTAGCAAACTTGGTGGTTTTTTTTTTTCTTAAAACCATGCCTGTATTTCTTCTGGTTTAGCTGGCCACAGTTATCCCTGGAAGTGGCCTTGAAGGCAAGGCAGGTGCTAGTAAAGTTTGTTCAGTCAGACTGGGGAGCAGCAGCTCAGCGGTGACGGAAGAGCTGCCCCTCTAGTCCCCCGTTTCTCCCTTCCATAGCGTCCCAAACTTAAATATGTCAGTGAGTAACTGTCTGTGCGGCTGCCCGTGGGGTCTGACCAGGGATGATGCTCTTGTGTTGCAGTGACTGCTGCGTAAGTGCTTTGCAGAAGGTTCCCCCTCTGCACGTTCATGGACATCAACACTCTTTAGGAATAAATTTCGCTTCCAAGTTGTAGAGCTGGGGGTACGGACTAAAGGATGACTTTTACCATCCCCCGAAGCCCCCCGTGCTACCTGCAGCCCTCCCGCAAGCCCTTACCCATTCGTGACCACGTGCTCCGTCGGCAGCAACGCTATAACGAAACATTTGTGTGGGCGGCGAAGGATCCTTCTCGCTGAGCAGCCAGGCCGTGAGCCTGCCGTCACACCGCCTGGAGTCCAGACTGGAGCACAGGCTTCCCTCGCGGCAGCTGGAGCGGGGCCTGTGACACCTCTGCCTCTCCTGAAAGATGCTGAGTGACGCTGATGTATATTTAGAAACTGGGGTCCCTGGGAAAGCCAGGGCTGGAGGCAGGTCAGGACATCTACCAATGGTTGCAGGTGTCTCCTGGCATCTTTCGCTTAGAGGTGACTACTGAGTCCCTGTTTATCTGTGGCGGTCTGTAGTTAGAGCTGGGACTACACACGCGACTGCTGGAGCCTGAAAATTCGGCTTCTGTCACCTCTTCATCCAGCAAATGTCTGAGGATCTGGGGAAAGGCCTGTCTTTCCTTGCTCCTGGAAGAACCTCTAGAAGGTCGAGTCAGCCAGACACCACCTCTGGCGTGGCCCAAAAGCCTCCGTGGGGTTTTCTAACAGGTAGATTCTGGCAACCACGAGATTTCAGCGTGTGCTGTCAACAGGACATGGCATTTGAGGGCAAGACCTGAATCACCAGCACCTTGCTTTTTTGTCCTTTCTTACTCCCAGAGCAGAACTTCTTCAAGCTTCATGGCTGTTCCTTGGTGAAGCAGCAGGACACTTGCTAACTTGGTGGAGGAAAGATGTTTAGATGTTTATGAGCTATTGGGAAGAAGGGGCCATGGGTTTGGGTCATGAAGGAAGCAGGAGAGGGGTGGGGAGATACATGAGAGAGCTGGTCAAGGGCACTGGTTCATCCATAGCGTGATGCTCCAAACCTGTGTACTGTATAAACCCAGATGGGGGTCCTGGTCTTCTCCTCCATCTGCCAGCCTGTGGTGGTGTCGAGCTGGGCGGACACGGGCTGGAGGGCTTTGTGCTGCTGCCAGGAGGGGTACCTCGCACAAAGCGGAGGGGAGAGGCGGCTGCAGGGGGGCTGACAGTGCTGGGGACGTTGGCCCC